CACCCATGAGCACAAAGACAGCACCATCAGTAGTACATCACATTTCATTGGTGCTTGTTTCTTTGATTTTCAGGGCTCCTTCATTTTTGTTGCTGCAAGGAAAGTAACAAAACATATGCTTGGAACATTTCCATTGTATTTTTTTTTTGCTAGCTCTAAGAAAACAATTGTAGCAGAAAAAGAAAAAGCTCCTATAAAAATAGTTTGAAAATTGTCTTAATTTCATTGGTACGGTATTACTGGTGTCTATTAAATTCTCCAAACGGAAACTTTTTCTGTAAATGTGAAGTGCTTTCTCTAGATTCAGCACAATTACCCTACATCCTGCATTCACTATTTAAGCTGAGACTGGGACCACAGCAATGCAGGGATGCCCTTGAATCCTACATCCACTATGTAAGCAAAGGCTGGGACCACAGCAATGCAGGGATGCCCTTGTATCTTACATCTGTTATAAGACTAAAACCATAATGATGCAGAGATGCCTTTGTATCCTACATCCACTGTGTACGCTAGGACTGGGACCACAGTGACGCAGAGATACCCTTGTTTTCCCATTGGTATTTCTCCTTGACTAACATGGCCTTTCAGTCCTTAACCATGAAAGTCACTTACAATGCCTGCATAGCTTGCAATACCTGTTAGAGAAACCTTTAAGTTGTTTAATGGCAGCAGACTCTGTATACAGGAAGCACACAGTAAAGAATGCTAACTGCCTCTGATCTTTAGGACACTGCCCTTTATTCCAATTGCCACCCAAGGTTGGGTCCTACTTTTTGCCTGTGGTTTCTTCATTTTTTACTTTTAAGTTGGAACATTTGCCTACACATACCTCCCACACATGAGCCTATGCATGTATCATCCTGTTTGTTCTCTCTACCTCCACAATGGCCCAGCTTTTCTGAAAAAAAAAAAAAAAAGTGCGACTCATTCCGAAAAATGGGGACTTTTGTAAAGAAGAAGGAACACAAAATTGTCTAGAAGCAAAGAAAAGCAGGCAACTAAAAATGCCCAGGAAAGGATTAATAATGAACGAGGGTCTTCATTGAATTACTATAGATAGAATTCTGCTCAGTCACTTATAAACACACATACAGAGAGAGAGAGAGAGAAAGACAGAGAGAGACAGAGAGGAAAACAGGGTCAGAATCTTACTAAAAAGTCGGCCTGGGATGCTCAGGATAGAGGGCTGAAGCCAATAGCTTCTTAGATACGAACAGAAACAAATGTATTTTATGGCTACCAGTTATGCATTCAAACACGCCGTTCTGCTATACAAGGTGCCATGAGGAGCTGCTTTCTTGTCATAATTCATGTTCATTGTTCCTCTAAGTAAAATATGTGTTTGCTGCTGGTTATTCTGTACAGAATTGGACATTAAAGGCAAGAGGACATTTTTGATAATGCACATCTTAAGACTTTTCATTAAAGTATCAAATTTAAATTCTACCTCTTTGTGCACTCTGACATTTTTTGTCTGGCATTTTCATTAATTTTGCGACATACATAAATGTAGCTGAAATGTTAACTGATCAATACTTTGTCTCTCTCATGTAGCACTAGGGTTTCATTCCCCAAGGACCACACAGCAGAACAGAAATTAAATGTGTAAAATATCAAATGTTAATGTTAAACACAGCAGCACTTGCTGTGTAACGACAGAAAAGGCTAAAACAATTCCAAACGGACAGACGCTACCACAAATTATCTACAATCACATTTAAAGACTAAAGTTTGTCCTGTAAAATAATTCTCTGACGCACACTGAAGTGTGTCCTTTTGCTGATAGCTCAGTTTTCCAATTATTTTTGTGCTCATTACAGTGAGCAATGACAGTGCTGAAGAAAAGGAATGTGTGCTCACTTGCCCTCCTTTCCTCTTCCCGTTCTGCACCCACTGGCTTCCACGAGAACACAAACGTCTGGTCTGGAGTCTGGTGAAAATTAGTCCAATTTGTAAGATATTTCCAGGTCTACATTGCTGATTCCCAGGGACAAGCAGTGCCTGCTACACCACAGACAAAAGAACTCCCTTTGAACAATAATATTCACCAGAAAACTTAGAAACCTAACTCTTCCAGAAGCCGACCTGCTCTGCTTTGCCATCTCCCCCTGGGTTCCATGGCCTGCTCACAGTGGTGCTGGGAGGCTGTGGCTACTGTCTGCATTTCTATGCTCATTGACACCAAGATGCAAAATAGGATTGTTTTCTCCCATTTTGACCTCACTATTTTGCATTTGTTTTTCAGAGAATTGAATCAGAAGAGAAAACCAAAATGAAATAGAAAAAAAAAATTCGTATTCATTTAAGCATTAAAAAGCATACTGATCTGGCCCTAAAAGTAAGCCACATAATGGTACAAATGCATGTCCTCCATGAGGCAGCTGCAGCTAGGAAAAAATGGGCCAAATGGAACCAATATTATAATAATAGACCCATGATCTGTCAGAGGGCATGATGGGAACAATATGTCTGTAACAATGGGCACTGCTTATGTTCATCTAATGGAAATCACTTCTTTTCAGCAAACTGCCCTAATAAACCTCTGCTGACGCAATCGCAACTCATTTACTCTCTGTAAGATGGCTAAAATCTTTTACAAAGTTTTTTCTGCATTTATATCACAACTCTCAGGTGTACATCTTAAAGGCTTCTACAGAAAAGAATATTTACTGTGTGGCATGAGGCAAGGTACATTCATGAGCTCCAGTTTCTTCATCTATATACTAGGAAACATAAAATCTATGAAGTTGTTGAAAATATTAAATTCTTAGTGCAAGACCATTTTCATTTATTTACATATAAACAATAGATGCTTGGCACATAGGGAGTAACTGATAAACATTCATTTCTATTTGTACAAAACTTTCTATATCAGAATTCAATCCATGATTAAGCAGATTATTGATAAGAGATTATAACTGAATTTTAGGTTCTTATGGAAATTATAGGTAAATTGCTTTGATAGTATTGATAGTTCTTATCATGATTTAATAATCAGATTTATTATAGTAAACTTATTTATTTGCGTTTTTTTTTAAGAAAAAATTTTAAATTGGCAGCCTTATTCAAAGACTTTAGTTGGCTGTTTATCCTGGAGGCTCACTGACTTCTAGGTGCCCTTCTGTGATAGAGAGCGGTGAAGACAGCAGGGTAAACATTGCAGGGACTCCCCGTCGGAGCCTAAGCAGAGAGCTTGATATTTATTACTTCAACCATATTCGATAAAGTGCTATTACTTTTTCTTTTTTTCCAACAAAGTGGTTAATAATTTCTTCACATTTTATCATGTTCTTTCCTCTTCCAGACTCGTTTTCAGCCATTTCCTATCTTTACTATTGCACAGTCTTTTCTGGGCAAACCCCTTGTATTTGGCTGTGTCTGCTACAAACTGGTTACTGGCTGAGGCAGACACTGCGTTTTCTGCAGCGCTTTGCTTCCTTCTAGTGATGTCACTGTAAGTGCAGTTACAGGTAGGTGCCTCTGTTTCTCAGGTTTCAGTGGCTTCTTCTTTTAAGAAGCAAAAGGAGATTTTAAAAAGGAGCTGCCATCTTGAATTAATTTTAAAAATGACATTAGGAAACTGGAAGGAGTTTATGAAGACTCACACAACATGCTGTAATGTCAAACAGTCCATAATGACCAATCCTGAATAAATGATATAATTACATACATTTTTATGCTTTCAAATTTCATAAACAGCCACAGAGATGGCTTTAAAGAAAGTCAATCAGAAATAGCAGCAGACATTTTCAGTAGAGTTTTATTGTTATCTTAATTCCCCATAGAATCTGAAATTGATATCAAATATCATTGTCTATCATTTTGGTGACTATCATAATGCCGCTATGCTGATGAAAATCAGAATGCCCCACTATATCTATTATGTGAGAGTTATTAGACAAGCACAGAGAGAAGAACTACTTCTTAAGCAATGATGGTGGCAGTCACCTCCTTAAGAAGACAACCACGTATCTATGGGAAGCAGGCTGCTAACTAGTAAGTGACAACACAAAGGGACGGATACAGCCTTTGTTCGTGTGCTCAGACATTAGTGAAAATCCCAGACAAGGCCTGCGCAGAGTACAGAACTCCAAGGACTAAAACACATTCATTTGACCAGTAATATAAAAGTTGATTGGTACTCTAATTAAGGCCTTTCTGTAAACCCTCATAATAATGTCATATTTTGCAAAACTGACAACTTCAAGAAAGCGTAAGATGCTCATTTCCTAACAAACACAAAATAAAATAAAGACTTCCAGAAGATGAACTCCATAGAAACCTCAGGTAAAACATCGACCGAGCAGAAATAGTGTGAGTGTAGAGATCCTGGCTAGGTCCAGAGAAAGTGCCTTTTTAGATTTTTCTACCACTGCCAGTTGGTCTCAGTATCATTTCTTAAATGATCTGAGTAAAAGGGTAGAGGACGAACCTTGTGTGGAGAATATTTGGGTCGATTACATTCTCAGTTGTGACTTTTCAAAACTAGAAACCACAGAGTCAGAGTCATCTCTAAAATAGGTCACATCCTTTCTGCTCTACTCGTTTATTAAAGCTTACCAGCCAGCACTCTACCGCCAGTGACCTTCCTATCCTGGTAAAACACTTACAGGATGAATACAATCAAAGTGTGGATGGTCAAGGCCGTTGTCATTGTCTTTGTTTGTTTGTTTTCTCCACAGAGAAGTATTTTTTTGATTCTCCTATTTGGATCTGGAATTGTACAATATGCAAAATTTTACTTTTTAAGTGTCAGAGAAAATTATACTTTGACTAAGATGTCTTGCATTCCGGAAATCTGAGGAATATATTCTTGGATTCAGACCCTGAACAATCCATCAGGTTCCTGCCCACAGCAAATCTGTCCAGTCAAGTCTCAAAATAGGAGTTTTAAAATGACTCTATCAACATAACTGTTACTATAGCCACAGAGAGCTGGAGCTAAGATCGCTGAATCTGATGAATAACAATGGGGGAGCAGGACAGTGTGATCCTACCACAAATGCGGCAAGACTCCTTGGGGGTGAATCCCAGTCAAAGCAACCATTAACGTAGTATGCAGCGTTTACCAGCACCATGACACAGCGCTTCGTTCTGACGAAGTTTCTTAGAAGCAGCTGTAAGGAAAATGAAAACAATATTAGCGTTTACAAGACTGAAAACAATCAAGTATATTGTATGATTCTAATTTAGAATGGCCCCAGAGAAGCAATAGGTGACAAAGATATACCAAGTGGTTTGGCTCACGAGGTAAAGGAAAGGAAGCATTCATTAGTGGATAAAGAACTAGGTGGGATGAACTATTTTTTAAGCTAAATATATATTTAACAATAATGTTTTTATATAAGCTGGTATGTTTGTTCATAAAAAATCTGCTACTTATGAAACATGTACTCCTGTTAATTTGAACTTTCTTCTTTTAAAGATAGATTAAATATTTTAATTTCAAGATGCTTCAAAGTGAATTGGATACCTTGAAATGTTTTGATTCAGAGTTCTAATGAAAAGCCTGTCTAATGTAGCTTATTATAGAAGCACTGTAATTTCAAGGGCTTTTTCCACTTAGTAGGACTGTTCTGTCTACAACCATCCCTCACTACATATTAAATCCACTCCATATTTTCTCTTTATTTTCCTAGGATTTAAAACCTAGGAACGTTTTAGAGTATGTCACAAAATCTCTTATTAGAAAAAAATGTATTTAAATTTAAAACAAAAACTATATCACATCATCAACAACAAAAAGACATCTATGAACTAGATAATGGTTTAAAAAGTTATCTACAGAAATGGATAATTAAAGTAATCATAAGTCTGCAAGTTAACTCTAAATATAGTCCAATATCAATCTGGTATTTTAAAGAAACAGATATGTAAAATTACCTGAGTTCAAATGACAAAAGTACACATGTATAAAATTAATTCATGTGTGTGCAAGGCAGTTATAACACATTTTAAAACTGGAGTTTTGTTTAGTCAGAGAGCCCCCCTGTGTATTTCCCTTCTTGGTTCCTAGCACCTTTTTTTTAAAAAAAAAAAAACAAATTTTATTATTCTTATCTATAATTATAGAGAAATATAATATGGTTTTCTATTTAGATAAGTATTTCATTTGTAATGCATATTGTTTAAATGCCAAAAGTCTCATTTTGTGGTAAATTTACTAGATTAAAAATAAAAAAAATATTTTAAGGTTTCTCATGGCTCAGAAAATTATCAAACATTTTACAGTAAAAGTAAGCTCAGTGACTTTATAGTCATAATAAACACACTGTATTTTAGCTTTGTAAATTGTCATAAACATTTAAAAAGGGTAGGTAGCACTTTTTCTTAACTGGATATTAAAGTAAATTTTAAGTTATTATTGATAAATACCAAGCTTAGTTTAATGCAGCATCATAAAGAGAAGATCAGAATTCCTGGTTTTCTGTTATAGTAGAGAATGTCAGTGAGAATTCATTTTAACGGAGTGTTGTTAACATCTAATTAAAAGACCCCTCACTGAATTAGAGGGAGGTACTTCCTTCATTCACGGCACACCTGCATCATACCTGTGGGTGGTCTGTGCACAGATCTGAACCTCACTCGCACACTCCGTGACAATCAAAGTGTAGTTTACGGTCCAGATGACCCTCCTCCGCCTGCACAGCCACAGCCCCCTTCTCCTTCCTTACCACCCCCATTTCATCTCTTATTTTGGTTTTGCCTTTGCTTGATCTTTTTAAGAAAGGAAAAGAAAGGGAAAAAGCCGTTTTCAATATGTAGGTGATCAAAATTTGTAAGGACGTCCCCCCTCCAGACCTCCAAGGTTTATTTGAATTTACTCTGATATTTTACAGAATCAATCAGTTCTTCCCAGAGGGATCTTTCTTTCTTTCTTTTCTTTTCTTTTCTTTTCTTTTCTTTTCTTTTCTTTTCTTT